TTGCTCCAATCAGTGACCTTCATCAAGTATGCTACCAAGCAACCTATTCCATATATCCAAAACTATATTTACACACCACTTTTTACCCAGTTATTTTCTTAATCTGAATTTATTTAATATATAGCCATTGTTTTATGATTTAATTTGAATTTATATTTGTAAAAGTCTTATTTACTTGTGCCTTGTTTAAACTTTCATCCCTTTGTATGCTTCAATTATGTTCCCTGACTTTTTGTCTTTTTAGAGAAGGTAAATTAAGTTTTCTCAACCCTCTGCCTGCTAGAATAGTTAAATACATAACTCCCAGGAGTGCTGCCATCCAAAAAACAAAAAGTAAAACAATTACTTTTGTTATAGTGTTGGTCTGACACACTCACAAATTCGGGCTCAAAAGTCAATATTGCCACCACCACCAGTGTATCTAAGACTGCATTTGTATGTATACAGTACTTTCATGCTATTTACACTCATTATTAGACGAGTTATTGTATACTGTAAATCAAATATATTTGCTAATATTATAAATCACTATAATATTTTATATACAAAAGAATATCCTCCTCTCTCTAAATGTACTGGGTATAAAGAATTCCCAACCGACCTCTGAGGTCACGACATGTGGCCCAGTGCCAGGCAATTCACATTGGCAAGTGTGCCATGAACTCTTCTGGAGTCGGTTCTGGGAGTAGTTTTTGATGAAACACCTCCATAGGATACCTGATCGACCAGACTTTGTCTATGTTAGGATTAGAACCGTGGGTACCACCACCACCCTAACTCAACATAGGAATAGCCTGGAGGGAACACCACATGGTAGTCATGAGACAAGTCATTCCAGTGCTTCAGGAATTAGTTGAACACTTGTGACTGTCTGTCTATCATTGCCATGAGACAAGTCATTCCAGTGCTTCAGGAATTAGTTGAACACTTGTGACAGTCTGTCTATCAGTATACCAGCCTTCACTTGTGCAAAAAAAAAAAAAGAATAAACAAAGATAAGGTTGCTTCAACATACTTAATTCAAAATGAAAATTCTAAATACTGTATGTACAAAATGTAACCATAGCACCTAATTATGCCAAACTATGAATTTTATATTACAGTTGATTACATCGAAAATCTGATGTTACAATGGATGCATCCAATAGCCTATACTAATAAAAGGCATGACTGCATTTTTTGCGATGAATTTATTTGCATCATATTTCAATGCAGGAACAGAAAGATGGATTGCTAAAATAACATGGTAAAAAAAAAAAAAAGACCATATCAACAAGCATACTCCTCTGACTATATAAATTCCTTTATAAAACCTGGGTTCTGTTTCATTAACAGTATTAAATCTTTGAAAACTTTTGCAGTGTGGCTCCCCGTTGCATGTCTGGAGGTAAAGTGAGCTGAGTAAGCCTTCTCGGCTTACTGCTCAGTGACTCGTAAAATGTCTATACCCTCTTTAAGTTTATCAAGTCATTTTTTGGGTAATAATTAGGAATGCTGTCAAAATTTTCAAAAATTAATTCTCCAGACTATAATTACAGAATGATATTTGCATTATTGATAAAGTACAATGTCACTTAATATGTCAAGGTTTATAAACATTCCGCACTTAACACTTTCGCTCACCCCGCGCGCCACCCCTCGACAGGGCGATATGGGCCCCAGCGTGTCACGGAAGCGCGCGTTAATTCCGAAAAGTGTATACTCTCTTCAACTTTGTCACCTCAATTCTCCTTCTACGAGATTAAATTTGGTATCATTGTGTTCGCAATAAAATTCTCTACAGCACTAAATGCATATAAACTCCAAAAGCCCAGCTAATTACCCGCAGCAAACAGAGAAAGTGCGAACGAGTTACCCGGGAGCGCGCAAACGGGATAAAATGTTTTCACTATTTTCACTCTGGTCACCTCAATTTTTGTCCTAGGTCTTTCATTTTGGTCTCAATGGGTTCGTAATAAAATTCTCTAGAGGAACATTAGCATATAAAAAAAAAAACCTGGTCACGCTCCAACCGCCGACGAGTTGAAGACGGGCCACGCGTTAGCCGTGAGTGAGTGCTCAGAGGCCTTCCTGCTACACTCCAAATTCCCACCCTTTTCAAGCCTTTCTTTCGCAATTTTCTTCCTGGAAGGGCCTTGTTCATGATTACTGTCCATCGTGGAGTAAGCGTAGATAGTTTCTAAAGCCGCAGTAAGAAATATAGCCACGGGAAATAGCCGAAATGTTCACACGTTTGAGATGCGAGGGGAGGCGACATTGGTCACAACAGTGGAGCAAAGACAATGGGCCCACGGCGTGTGCCAAGCCGCCTAAGGGCCACGAGGCTCAACAAAGAAAATGGGAAGACATCGGCGCACATTTTAAAACCAGTCCCCAAAAAATTGGATAAAAACCTGATTTTTGGCGAATTTTTAAATTGGATGACGCAATGCTGCGTCATCCCCGGCATTACCGCCAGTAAACGGATGACGCAATGCTGCGTCATCCCCGAGCGAAAGTGTTAATATTTATCGTAAACTAAAAAAAATATAAAATTGAATATTTTTCCTAATGATCATATAACTATAAAAATCAAATAAAAGTTATTGTATTTTCTTTTTCAGTCAGGTAATGTGCACAGCGATACCAAAGCACATGCAGGCAGAGCGATTGTTGTCTCGAGTGATGGGGGTGGTCGGCCAAGGTGATCTCTAGTTGCTCCCTGATAAGCGCTACCGACACTATGCTCACGGATGTTAAATTTTATCATAAAGGAACAAATAGAATGGCTACGGTAAAATGTTTCTGAAATTTAGAGATTGAACGATCCTTATTAATGTTACCAGAGCAATTATGCATAATTATGAATGAAGCTAAAATGCATCATCAGACTGCTACAGTGCTAATAATGTGGTACTGTACCAACAGCTATAAATGATACTTCTTAGAATTATATTTGAAAATACAAAATTTACTGCAACTGATTATGTTTGTCATAAGAGGCAAATTTCTTTCTTTATACAGTGGAACCTCGAATAACGAATTTAATCCATTCCGGCGCCGTGATCGTCATGTGAAACGGATGTCATAAAAAAACGAATGTCCCCAATGACAATAATGGAAATCAAATTAATCCGTTCTACCACCGAAAAACATCAATATTATTCAATGTTTTAAATAATGGAGCACTACCTTATATACACTGAACATACCTTTATGACATTTTTCTTTCTTCAAATTTGTTCAATATTTATTTTCATTTGTCTTACAGCAAAAGGTTCGTTCGGTGTTCGGCAGGTAGGCTGCTCCATGTTTCTTAAAAAAAAAAAAAAAAAAAATATTTTGCAAAACAGAACAAATGCCAAAAAGGTTCGTTCAGTGTTCGGCAGCTAGGCTGCTCCATGTTTCTTAAATATATATAAAAAATAAAAATAAAAAGACAGTTGAAACAATTTGAAAAACGGACAAATGCCATAAAAGTTCGTTCAGTGTTTGTCGGGTAGGCTGCTCCATTATGACAATCTTTCTTTGTTTCAAATGTGTTCCATCTGTTTTGTATTTTTCATTTACGTCTCAATAATGGAGCCATTTACCCGACAAACACTGAACGAACCTTTATGGCATTTGTCTGTTTTTTAAATTGTTTCAACTGTTTTTTATTTTTCTTTTTTTATTTAAGAAACATGGAGCAGCCTACCTGCCGAACACCAAACAAACCTTTTTGACATTTTTTGTGTTTCAAAAAATTTCATCTCTTTTTTTTTTTCTACAAAAAAGTCCTTGCTATGCAACATCTCAACAGTCACCCCTTTATATCCCAGCATCATTAGCATCTTTAAACAAAAACAACATAATTTATTTGCATCGTCGAAAGCGTCTGGGAATGTGCGTGAAGCAGTGCGACTCCACCATGTGGTCTTGTCATCATTCAAACTAGCGGTCGCCATACGAGACGAATTGTCGGCGATCTGGGCGATTGTTACCCAAAATGCGATCGTCACTCAAGGTTCTACTGTATATATATGAGCAGTTTCTTTCACCAGATGTTCCTATTCACCTAGCAGTAAATAGGTACCTAGAAGTTAAGACAGCTGCTTCCTGGGGGATATAATTACCTAAGTGTAGTTACAGGATGAGAGCTATGTTTGTGGTGTCCCATCTTCTCAGTACAGTACTCTGTTGTATAACGCTTTGAAACCACTGACGGTTCTGGCCTCCACCACCTTCTCACTTATCTTGTTCCATCCATCTGCCACTCTGTTTGCAAAAGAAAACTTTCTCACATTTCTTCAGCACCTTTGTTACCTTAGCTTGAATCTGTCCTCTTGTTCATGAAGTTGCAGGTTTCAGGAATTCCTCTTTGTCAATTTGGTAGACTCCTGTTAGTATTTTGTAAGTGGTAGTCATATCACCTCCTTTTCTTCTGTTTCTAATTTTGGCATGTTTAACACCTCTAGTCTCTCCTCGTAACTCTTGTTTTTCAGTTCTGGAAACCATTTTGTAGCATGCCTTAGTACCTTTTCCAGTTTATTTATGTGCTTCTTGAGATATGAGCACAATACATCTGGTGCATATTCCACAATTTTGGTCTCATAAAACTCATGAACAGTATCTTTAGTATTTTACCATCCATGCAATTAAAAGCAAGTCTGAAGTTGGAAAGAGACGCATAAGCTCCACTCACAATGTTCTTTATGTGTTCCTCTGGTAACAGCTTACTATCCAAAACCACCCCTGGGTCTCGTTCTTTAATTCCTTTCCACGTAATTTATAAGCTGTGTGTGGTCAATTTCCTCTGTTTCCACATTCCATAACATGGCATTTATTCACATGCGTGCGTGCACGCGTGCGTGCGTGCGTGTGTGTGTGTGTGTATGTACTCACCTAGTTGTGGATGCGGGGGTTGAGCTCTGGCTCTTTGGTCCCGCCTCTCAACCGTCAATCAACAGGTGTACAGGTTCCTGAGCCTATTGGGCTCTATCATATCTACACTTGAAACTGTGTATGGAGTCAGCCTCCACCACATCACTTCCTAATGCATTCCATTTGTCAACCACTCTGACACTAAAAAAGTTCTTTCTAATATCTCTGTGGCTCATTTGGGCAATTGGGCAATTTGGTGTGTGTGTGTGTATGTGTGTGGCACCCCTATTTGTCAAAGAAGCAGCACTGATCATGCAGTTACAGCATTTATCGAACCCACAAAATGCTTGAAACTTAAAATCATTTTGAAAGACAAATCATTTTACCAAATACCTAATTTCAACCAACAAACCTTAAAACCAAACTTAATCAACAAAGACATTACATTATCACTTCACCATTTTCAAATACAATAGTATTCATTATTAATAAATCAAAATGTCAACTATAACACTTAAAAATAAAACACAGCATACAAATAACTGGCATAGTGGTAAAACTGACTTGATAATTAGTTTCTTTAAATATAACTTTACTGAAGACCCCGCTGACAGGCTGATGAGATATATCAGTTTCTGAAATAAAATGCAAAGAACTAGTTCCCTATATATTAATAATTCTTTAGGAGACCTCAAAATCACAAGCGAGACTATAATCTGACCAATATCACACTATCATCATTCTTTGTCAAATCACTTGGGATCACAACCAAACTTAGCAACTAAAGCTGCTTGATTTCTGGAACAGAAAGTACAATGATAAAAAAAATCACTCCATAATGATCATCATCTTAAAGATATGATCAGATGTTCCTGTAATCGTACAAAAAAAATCTTGTCGAGCCTAACTTTTTGGCAGATGTTTTAATGTATAACGTACAGTGAACACTCGCATGGAAAATCATCACAATGGCATCTGTTTGCAGAGCGAGATAATAACAGCTCTTGGTGATGCCGATCACACAGCAAAGGGCGGTGGGAAGAAGTTGGTGTCTGACGTGACAATGCATTCCCAGAAAGTCAACTGGAGCTGCTTACTTCATATTCTGCGTTTAGTCTTTTTAGATCTCTTAAAAACAAAATAACAAAAATAAGATTAGTGATTCATATTTTTATTAAAAAATAGTTTTGTGCTTGTGAAAAAGCCCCTTTCTTAAAAAGTTACTTTGCTCTTGAGGGCAGATATTTGATCTGCTGTGCCATTACAGAAGCCTTTTTACATGGCAGTGATGCCACAGCGACTCTGGCTTCCTTTTTTAAGATGCTTTAAGATGCAACCATTTTTAAGATTCTTTGGAGTCCCTAGACACAGTGTCAGTTCAGCTAAAATCAATTTACCATGAAAAGTTTGTTTCAAAGCACAGGTCTTTCAGAATTCCACTGGTATCATAAATGGCAACAGCCAATAATAGGCCATAACTGAACTTTCAGCTAATTAAAACAAACACCTTCAACACAACCATTACAAGGAGGCAGAACAAACCAAGACCTAGGTTATGTCCGCCCACACCAACCCCAAATACACTCCAAACTTACAGGCATACACCCAGAAGCATAGGAAGATAGAAGTGGGGCAGAAAGAAAGTGAATGGGATTGGTAGAAGAGCTTGTTCAGAAAACTTCTCACAAACTCTAAAGCATAGTATCTGAACATGCATTTTACTGCATACCTTCCCACAGACGTTCAAATACAAACAATATTTGGAGATTACCCCTGAATTACCAGCCGCCTTTGGTGGTATGGCTCCAGAATAGGAAACTGCGAGTTACACAATGTTACATCCCCCACTATCAAAGCAACCCATAAAGAGCTAAGACAGAAACTGCAAATGTAGCTCCTTTAATGGATGCTCCAGTTTCAAGGATAGTTCATCCTTTCTGTTGACAGGCTACCCAAGCCACAGAACAGCATCCTAAATGTGGTAACTTTGGCAAGTGGCAAACTACAAAACTGTGATTAGATCTCCAAAAGTTGTAAGATAGAATCTGCTTGTGTGATATAGCAGAGAGAAATCCCTGAAATGTGGCAATCTTTTACAGGACATGGACCTTACTTGCTTATGACCACTCAGAAATGGGGTTCAAACAAATCCTATCTAATTCTGAGGACTTGACTCAAATCCTCTGAATCAGAAGGGCGAAATACACCCCTAAAAGTGGGAAACCTGCAGTGTCTTTACAGAAGCTGAGAACTGAGTTCACGAATGCTGATATTTATGTGGAGCTCAACGCTTGGCAGTCACAACATACCAGTATGCAGAATGCCAAAACAACAGATAAGAACAGGGCCAAATCCCACACACTAAGGATTAAGCACATCCAAACATACGAGAGTGCCACTGCCCTTAAAACCACTAGGATGATCACTAGAGGCATAAATACTGTACATGACGCCTTCCCTGGCAGTTTACCTATCCTGTACTGATGCACCATGACAAACAACTAGTGACAGGTCACAAGACTCTCAGCCCGGCCACAATAGGCAATAAAACTGGGACTAAAACAAAGATTAACTGACTACTTCAATCCAATCCAAAGTTCAGTACCATAATACAGCTGAATTTATCACTGTTACTTCCCAATACAGTACTGGTATTTGACTAAATGAATAGTATTTAAAAAAAACCACCAGGAAGATGTAAACAGATTAATGCCCTGGATGCTGATGATAAAAGGCAAAAAGATTGGAAACTAGTCATTCAGAACTAAAATCAGACCAAAGTATAACCAAACTCAACACCAAAATAGACAATGAGGAAAAAGAGAATGAAAGTAGGTCAACAGCAGATGAACCAAGGTCAAGAGACTTCCCCTAAATGACAAAACTTATGATTGGAACTCAGCAAAATAAGAAAAAACAGGTGCAACTCCTACAACAATCACAGGACACATAAGCAGCTATATCCCATTACTTAGCGGCTGCGGTGCTCTATACCCCAAGCCAGAAATCTGCTGAATATCTGAAGACCCAGAAGGACTAAAGTCAATATGGACCGGAAACAATTCACCAGAATTGGGCAAATGCCAACAACTTAACTGCCGGCCTTCTGCTACTAGCACAGTGTGGATGTGGGGATGATGTGGGCGGACTGGGACTGAGTCTTGGTGGTGCTGCCACCTGGTGCTAGAGTGGATGAAGCAGGATACATCTACATTGGCTAGTAGATCAGCTAATAATAACACTGGCTGCTGTGATTCATGACATCAATGGAGCTCTGAAAGACTGGTGTGGGTGAATGATGTTTCTCTGGTGACTCCCAAGCACCTTAAAATGGCCTTAAAGGGACACTGAGACACACTGTGTCTCAATGGCCACAGTGACATGCAATGTCTGCCTCATTGCCCAATGACCTCATTATGGTACAATGGTTCAAATATCTTTGGGGCACAATATGAAAGTTTAGAAAGAAGCCATTTCACTTACATATAAATACAATAAGGAAAAATTCTGGCTGGGAGAACATTGTAATAAAATGATATCAACTGATAAGGCATATACATATGGTGCACTTGATGGTTAAGAAACCAAAAGCTTCAATCAAAGCTGCAGGAGAAGCTGTGCATTCACAGGTACTGTACTGTATATCAGTGGAAACACTTCCTTCCCCAAGACCATAAAAAAAATGCAACACAGAGACATGAGAGAGGGGTGAGGGAGGGAGTGTGTTAGAGAGAGACAGACAGACAGACAGATATCCTCCAATATACATAACATTATGTTAGTGTAATACCAGTAATATGTTTGAGGTAAATAATTATGAAGTGCTTATTACACAGCATACCTTTTGTCAACAGCATCCATGAGATGTCTGGCATTGAGGGAAGAAAGGCAGATTCTCAGTGTTGTCCAAATGTTATCAGACACTGCTCGTGATGATTCCTTCCCGCTTGGTCCTCTCCCTGCTGCTTGCATATTTAGAGCCTCTAAGAAGTGCTCCATTGCTTCCCTACATAAGAACAAATTATAATGTACTTTTTGCATGCAATAATAACTTTCATTATAGCTGTTTAATATACTGTACATAGATTAAATATTTATTCATAGATTAAATATCTTCATCTGTATATGAAGAAAATTACATTGATAAAACCAGCGTTGAATGTAATGAAACGCCATTTTCTGGGTGAGACCCGGAGGCTCCCCAGAGCTATCCAGGCTGATATGTAATATATTAGACTTTGGCATCAGTCAGTGTGAACTGAGTTCATAGGCCTACTGGGGACCACGAGCCCGAACCTGGCCCCCTCTCAGACATGCACAAGGTGCAATGGCCTATAGAAATGCACATGCGATTTGGAGCATTCTATGTCTGCCATCGACCGGGTCAGGCACCCAGAAAGGTAAGCATCCCAAAACAAACCCCCTATTCTGGTTGAAACTACTACTGAAAGTTAAACGAGTGGACAGAACTCCCTAAAGAAAAACAAGCAAACAAGCATGACGTCACCACTTGCCACCCCGCCGTCTGCGCAGGGGGTCAGGGGCGAGGGGTGAGGGGTCAGAGTCCCTGACCCCTCGCGCCGGCAACCCACACCTTCAACTCTGAGGCTGGATGTCAAAACACACGAAAAAGCCACGGACCAGAGGGAGGAAGGGATGCCAGGAAGCCTCCGGGTCTCACCCAGAAAATGGCATTTCATTACATTTAACGCTGGTTTTCTGGGGGAAGCCCCTTCGGCTCCCTGGAGCTATCTACCCAAAGACAAGGACAAAAGAGGGACAAACCCGGGAGGCGGAACCACGTGCCCGAAACCCGAAAACAAGACAACTGGAAACACCGAACGATCCCATGGAAAACCTGGGAGACCCGAACCATGGAACAAGGATGAAGGGAATCCGGGAAACCCACAGCACATCCATGGCCACAGAGGCCGCGGCACTCAGGTAATGGCGGAGAGTCACAACTGGACACAAGAAGATGCACCCCCGGCCAAACCAACCAAGCATCAACAACCCCAGAGAACCCTCTGGAAAACAGCCAACCCAACCTCGCCAGAAAAGAAAAGACAGTAGCAAACGAACAAACTGAAAGGAACATAACCCAAAGGAGCAGAAACCTCTGAGAAACAATTCTGAACCGAAGGGGCCACATCAAACTGAGGGGAAAGAGAGATAAGAGAGCACCTTGTCCAAAGACCAGGATGGGCCAGGTGGCGCATGACCAGGCCGGAGGTGAAACAGCACCCGAAACAGCTCGCGAATAGGTGCAGAAGGAACATCAAAACCAAAAGCAAGCCGTAGGGGCTCCGTCAGAACCGCATTATACGAGGCGACAGTATGCGGCATAAGATGACAGTCCTGAACAGCCACGAGAGAAAGGACAAGACCACCTCAACAAAAAGTGCAGTATACCTACGAAGAGACAAAAGAAAAAAGGAAGGACCGCCAGTAAACCACACACTGCCGTTGAGACGAAGCATGCAGGTGGGACACCATGAACGAAGTCACCTGATCACCAAACAGATGGTGATTCACTCTAGTCAAAAGTACCATTCGGAAAGACTCGAGGAGAAGACTGAACCAGCCACATAACAGACTGGACCGATTATCTGAAAGAGGTGGAGCAACGGAAAAGCCCCTGGGTACGGACACCGAGCAAGCCGTGCCCGAACCAAGGCGGGGACCTCTGAAAACTCAGCAGACGCGACACCCGAAATGACCATCGCCAAAGAGCCAAGGAATGTCCCAAGAATCCCACACAAGAGATTCTGATATGCGATATATTAGACCGGGGCATCAGTCAATAGAATTCAGCCTACCGGGGACCACGATCCAGAACCTGGCCCCCTCTCAGAGAGGCAAAGGGAGCAATGGCCTATAGAAACCCTCATGTGGTTGGGGGCATTCCATGTCTGCCATTGACCGGGGTTGGCACCCAGAAAGGTAGGCATAACAGAACAAACCCCACTTGGTAAGAAAAAGCAACCGAAAACCAAACAGGGAGGCAGAACTCCTACAACTTAAGAAAACAGGCTAACAAGCAAATGTCACACCTCGCCGCCGTGTCACCTGTACCGCCGACCGGAGGGAGGGAGGGTTGCCAGGGAGCCTTCAGGGCTTACCCAGAAAATGGCGTTTCATTACATTCAATGATGGTTTTCTGATGGAAGCCCCTACGAGGGAATTTCTGAGGGAATCCCCGCGTCTGAATGTCAGCCCAGGACATATTGCCAAAGATGGCAGTAAAAGCAACAAACTTCCTAACATCATGGGCACGAGGATAGACCACAAGCTGGCTACACTTAATAATCCTGCGGACAACCTGGGAGACCCAAGCCCTGGAACAGGGAACGAAGGAAACCAGATCAACCCAAAGCGCATCCCCAGCCACAGAAACCGAGGCGCGCAGGTAACGGCGAAAAGGCGCACCTGGACACAACACATGATGCACACCTGGCCTGACTAGCCAAGCATCAATGACCCAAGGTCCTCTCCGGAAAGCAGTCATCTTGTTCTTCGGCAGAAAAGAAGGCGACGGCTGCAACCGAACAAACCTACCACCAGGACCGAAGGAGCAGAAACCCCTGCACTAGAGGGGTTATATACATATATATTATTCTTATTTTTTTAGCATAATATACAGTAGAGAAAAGCACTGTGCTAAAATGGAAGTGCAACAGAGAAAGAGTTAAATTGTATTTCTGTGTTGATGCTGGATATTGTTTCTTTCTTACAAGAATGGTCCAGTGATGTACCATACATGATTTATCAGATTACCTGACATTCAGTAGCTCAGAACCAGCAAAGCAGCCACATCACAAGCATCTCACTCTAGGAAAAGTGGTGAAAGTGACCAATAAGTGGGTAGCAGTACACTGAAAGTGATCAAGATGACTGTGTGATAAGCAAAATGAGTAATGTACCACTGTACCTGTGGGCTCCGAGGTTGATGCAGGAAATACCAAGATTATAACGACATCTAATGAAGCCGGGAGAAATTTCCAGCGCATTACGGTATGCATCAATGGCTTCCTCGGAGCGTTCACTGTTAGCTAACGTAGCCCCCAACTTGTTCCATAACTTAGCATCCTGTAACAGTGGAGGTGAGTAAGAGACAGACAGCAGTCACTATATTCAAGAAAATCTTACAAAATAGTCAAAGATCAACTTGATTTGTTTAAAAACACCATATCTCTATGATTTAAAAGATTAGCTCTAATTCTGTGTTTGGCTTTGAGAAAAATTTAATTTCTATTGTATTTGTAAAACCAGTTACATTCACACATACACATTCTATAATCCAATCTCTTCTTATTTCCTGGTTGCAGACTCACTAGCTTTCTTTAGGCTCTGATAATGAGTATTAGAGGCCTGGGAATAAAGCAAGTGTTGATTGTAATGAAATGCCATATTCTGGTAAGCCCCTATATAGCTCCACAGCTTATGCTCTGGTACCACTAAACCTTCAGATAGTACCAGATCCTTGAGACTTGCTCAGGCCCACAAGGAACCAGGATAGTGGCTTTGACCACTAGAATCCATTGAAGATTTTCTACATTGAGTTTTTGTGTACAGGGTATCTCCCTGTTTTTGGGCGCTTTCATCCCTGGTATTCTTTGGTCAGCTCGACATCTGATCTAGATCAGTGTCTAATTACCAGTTTCCTTTTGTTGAACAAGTTTTGTACTAGGGAGCCGGTCGGCCGAGCGGACAGCACACTGGACTTGTGATCCTGTGGTCCCGAGTTTGATCCCGGGCGCTGGCAAGAAACAATGGGCAGAGTTTCTCTCACCCTATGCCCCTGTTACCTACCAGTAAAATAGGTACCTGGGTGTTAGTCAGCTGTCACGGGCTGCTTCCTGGGGGTGGAGGCCTGGTCGAGGACCGGGCTGCGGGGACACTAAAAAGCCCCGAAATCATCTCAAGATAACCTCAAGATAGGGTCATAGTTGCTCTTATGCAAACCTGTGGACTTCTTGTTTTTACCAGGCTTTCTTCCTGGGAGTTTCCCCGGGTTTTGATTATTCTTTCAGGTTTGTTGTTTCCTGTTAGGTATGCAGGCTCTCTACAGTGACCTTTGCTCTTCTTTTCCCAGGTTGGTTTCTGTGGGGTTTTAATTTGGCATGGTCTTCTCTTCTGCCATTGGGTTTGTGACTGGTGCATTTTCAGTTTGTCCTGCTGGGTTTGGCCATTGTTGACCATACTGGCTAGAGCCATGTTTATTTTTCAACTAGTTTGTCATTTTCTACTTCCCTTCTGGGTTTTTGGCATTTTTAAATCTGCAACTATCCAAAAGGGACCTGTTCTTTCCTGTGCAATGGTCTTCTGCCTACTTCTACAGATAACCAGTTTCCATCTTAGTCGGTTCATTCATTGAAGCCTTCCTCTTCTCTGAGTCTCTGCTGTGAGATAAACTTCAAGAAAGTACTGAGGGGAGCCAATCCAGAAACAGTGAATGAAATTAAGTGCTCCATTGTCCTCTTCTTTCCTGTGGAGTTTTTATGGTTCCATACTGGCTGCTTGTGTGTGACACAGGTTCAGGACTGTCTATATATATGCCTATGTGACCATGACTGACTGAATAGCTGATTTTGACTAACACTGGTTGATTAATTTTTATAAATATTGATATTGATTTTGCCTGCCTCCCTGTGTTCATGTGAGTGAAGAAGGAATGTTCTAATCTTTTATTTATTTCTTTAGTGTACAGTATTTATATTGCCTTTTTCATTTATATAATCCTGTTCACCAACTCTATAATTATTAGCCAATACACCAGTGGAACCTTCATATAAGTCAAAGGCAAGAAATGATGCTTTAAATTTCAAATTAGAAGTGCACACTCAGGTGCAGCACTGTACGAGATGGGGCGATATGACTAATTTATGTAATCATTCCTACAGCTTCTGTAGGAATGTATGTGTCTATGTATGCTGTTATGAATATAAATATTTGGCAAAATATATACAGTAATTCATTTGAAATAATTACTGTTTGCTAGTACACAATCGGTAATGATAATATGAAATACAGTATATTTTGTTTTAATTGCATATTTTTATAATTTGACTAATTATAAATACAGTACAGTTGAACCTTGAGTGACGAGCAGCTGTATCTATGAGCATTTCGAGTAACAAGCAAGCCACTTGCCGAAAATTTGTCTCTATTGACGAGCTTCTGCTCTATTAATGAGCGAAACCACATGGTGCTTCCTAGCGTTCTCGCTGGTTCTCACAAATTCTCGGAAGCCTCCGATGACAGTGTTGTTGTTGTATCGCGCAAGACTAGCATCCCTCTGCATTTATTTGTGCTTTTCTTTGGAATTTTGTGGTTTTGTGACTATAATTTGTAATGCACGATGTCACCAAAGAAGCTGCTTGCTAAAGACAGTGTTGGCAAGGGAAAGAAAGACAATTACAGTGGAAGTGAAGAAGGAAATCATAGCAAAGCACAAGCGTGGTGTCTGTGTGACTGATCTTGCCCGGGAGTATAGCAGGTCCTCCTCAACAATTTGTACCATTTTGAAGAGGAAGGAACAATTTAAGACACTTGAAGTGGCTAAAGGAGTTACCAAGGTTACCAAGAAACATCCACAAATCCTAGAAGAGGTTGAAAAGCTACTGCTGGTCTGGATGAATGAAAGACAATTACATGGCGATAGTGTCTCTGAAGCTATTGTTTGTGCTAAGGCAAAGAAGATGTATGTGGACCTTGCCAGGAAGACACCAGGTGCGTCGTCTGAAGATGAGGAGATATTTAAGGCAAGCTGTGGATGGTTTGAGAAGTTTAGGAAGAGAAACGATATACACAGTGTTGTGCAACATGGGGAGGCTGCCAGCTCTGATAAAGCTGCTGCCGAGAAATTTGTGCTACAATTCCAGGAATTTGTTGCTAAAGAGGAGTTCTTGCTCCAACAAGTTTTTAATTGTGACGAGACTGGCCTGTTTTGGAAGAAAATGATGAAGAGGACCTACATCACGCAAGAGGAACAATCTTTGCTTGGCCACAAACCGATGAAGGATCGGCTTACCCTCGTGCTCTGTGCCAATGCAAGTGGCGATTGCAAGGTCAAGCCGCTGCTCGTCTACCACTCAGAAAATCAATGAGTGTTCAAGGCGTGTAAAGTGCACAAGACGCGGCTGAATGTGATGTGGAGGTTCAATAAGAAATCTTGGGTCACGCAGATATTCTTCAGTGAATGGGTCAATGATGTTTTTGGCCCCGCAGTGAGGAAATATCTTGAAGAGAAGCAGTTACCACTCAAGGCCTTGCTTGTGCTCGATAATGCTCCTGCACATCCCCCACAGATGCAAGATGATTTGTTTCCCGAAAATCAGTTCATCACCAAGTTTCTTCCTCCGAACACTACTCCGCTCCTCCAGCCCATGGACCAGAAAGTCATTGCCAACTTTAAGAAGCTCTACATGAAGGCCTTGTTGGAGAGGTGTGTTGATGTGATAGACAATACAGAGCTGACCCTCAAAGAATTCTGAAAGAACCACTTCAATATCCTGGGTGCCTTACGTTTGATCGATAAGGCCTGGGAAGGAGTGACATGTAGGACTCTAAACTCTGCATGGTGAAACCTGTGGCCTGAGGGTGTCTCTGAGCGAGACTTCGAAGGTTTCGGTCATGCACTTGCATCTGTATCTGCACCTATGGAAGACCCAGATGTGCATCTAGTGGATGATATTGTTGCTCTAGGGTATACTTTGGGTCTGGAGTTGGATGGTGGTGATGTGCAGGAGTTAGTGGAGGAGCATAGTGATGAACTGACCACTGAGGAACTCCTGGAACTTCAGAAGGAGCTGAGTCAAGAGGAGGTACAAGAGCTCTCATCAGAGGAGGAGGAGGTAAGGGAGGATGCTGCCTCTTCCAGTGAGATCAAGGAAGTGTTGGGAATGTTTGAAAAGGTGACCACATTCTTGGAAAAGCATCACCCTGATAAAGCAGTGACAACCCGGTGTGTGAACATGTTTAATGACAATTTGCTGTCTCGTTTTAGGGACATCCTAAAATGAAGACAAAAGCAATTGTCAATAGACCGTTCTTTGGAAAGGTAGAGAAAAGACCAGCAAGTGATAGTGAACCACAACCCGGTCCCAGTGGGGTGAAATTCCCAAGAAGAGAGAGCCCGCCTGACTCGAAGGTGGATTCTCCTTCCACTACGTAACCCCTCTCCTCCTTCCTACCTCCCCAACGTCTCCCTCAAGCCAGCAACGACTCTTCATAAGGCAAAGTACATGTACAATTGAAAATACAGTAGTAAAACAAAGCATTTATATTTAAATGTACAGTATTATATTTACATTATAAAATGTCACATTGATGTTTTTGGGGGGGTGGAACGGAATAATTTTATTTCTATTATTTTAAATGGGGAAATTCGTTTCTAAAGACGAGCTCGGTGCCGGAACGGATTAAACTCGTTAATCGAGGCTCCATAGTATATAATTTTTTGTTACATTTTTTCAGCAAATAATTTTGGTGAGGTAAACATGTTGTCAACCATGTAAATTTTTTTACTTAAAGCAATTCAGTCATTTTGAATTAAATATAAAGGCAAACAAGGAAGAAATAATTTTTTCATTCATCTCAAAGCAAGAAATACCTTTTTTGCCCTTTTATTGGGAAACAAATCTCAAATTGAGGGCGAGGTTAGCCATACAACAGCAACCAATTGTGGATATTTAGCCATCTTCAATCTTTCTACAGCACGTCTTACCTGCAGCACAACACTCTTAGTATTCAAACTTCAAAAGCATTTCTTCATTTAATTTCACTAATCAGTTTTTCCAAAGTTATATTCTTCTACTGATCTTGAATAATAGCACTTACAGCATCAAATTTGTTGAGTAAAGTATTTCGAAAAGTATCATCAAGGTTGCTACTGGTAAAGCAGCACATGTATCAGGAGGAATTTTGTCACAAGGTCTTACTACACTATTTGTGGTATCATGAAATTTCAAGATATTTCTGTTTTGTTTCTGTCATTGACACGTATGTCATTTTATTTTAAAGTTTATATTCTTTTATAGTGCATATTAGATTTTTTAAGCTTTGGATAAACCTTCTAGTGTTGACAGATTTTCTACTGTTCGGAAAATTGTGGGAAGGATGTTACTGGGCAGGAAGACAATCTTCTCTCCTGTGATAATGCTGTACTTGGTTTACTACTAGCCACCACCTCCATTGTTTGAGTTACCTAGATAGGGTTCTGGGAGTTCTTCTACTCCCCACGCCTGGCCTAGAGCCACGCTTGATGTGCGAGAGCTTCGCCCAACAGACTATTATTTTGAGCAGCCCATAGGCCCAGATATCCACTACAATCCAGTTGGTCTAACACTTCTTGCAGGAAACCTATTTTTTTTCTTGAACTCCACTTTTGTTCTGGCAATATTTCTTATATTCGTTGAGAGGATATTGTACAGTCATCTATCCCTGATGTTCAAACCGTGTTCTCTGATTGTGCCTATAGCACCTCTACTCTTTATTACCTCTATTCTGTATTTCCTATTACATTGTTTGCTCCAAAATGTTGTTGTCTTCCAGCATTGTTCCCTGTATATATATTATGTGATACCTCTCGCGTCACCTTTCCAGAGTACATTTTCAGAACCTTTAGATGGTGCTCAATAATTTAAGTGCTTTATTGTGTCTATGTATGCTGTATATGTTCTCTCTTTTCCTTCTATTTTAGCAATATCTCCTGCTCTGAAAGGGTAAGGTAAGTATCGAGCAGTAATCAAAGCAGGAGAGTCAAAGTGATTTGAATAGTACAGTACTGTGATGGGATCCCTGGATTTGAAGGCTCTCGTAATCAATTATATAATTTTTCTGACAGTATATTTGCTTGGTGATGCTCCCTAAATGTTAGGTTGTCAGACAATATTATTCCCAGGTCCTTTACATGTTACTTTCCTACCATGAATAGGTCTCATGGTAGCAGATATCATATCTTGTACCCTGTATTTCGTTTGCCTTAATTTTTACCATAACGAAGTACAGTACCGGCATTTATTAATGTTAAACATCATGTTATTTTTTGCTGTCTACTCAAAAACGTTATTAATATCAGCAATGTCTTCTATAGTAATGATTTTCATGCAGATTTTTGAGTCATCTGCAAAGAATGGCACAAAGCTGTGATTTGTATTTTTGTTAACATCTGATATGAGAATAAGAAAAAAATCAGTGGTGCAAGGAGTGTGCCCTGAGGTACAGAGCTTTTCACTGTGCTCGGACTTGATTTTGTTTGATTGACTGTTACTCTCTGCATTTTGTTTGACAAGAAATTGAATATACATCACCCTACTTTTCCTGTTAACGCTAGTGATTTCATTTTAAGGCTACCAACATACGGTCACATTTATAAAATGCTAATGCAATGTTCATGTATACTACATCTGCATTCTGTTTTCCTTCTAATGCTTCCATGATTTTGTCATAGTGGTTAAGTAATTGTGTCAGGAACGATCTTTCTGCTCTACATCCATGATGACCTGGTTGTAGAGATCACTGTTCTCCATAAAATAAGGCAAAACTGGAAGATGTAACTTTGGGAGGGAATGAATATAGACGTGTGTGAGTGTGTACATTAAACTTAATTGGAATAAATATGGTATGCAGAAGATAGTTTAAAATAAATGGTATAAATTGAGTGATAGATGTGTCAGACTTTGTTATATCAACTTTCATTATTGACAAAATTGCTTTTACAATATATGCTCAATATAAGCCATAATAGATGGAGTTGTTTCAGTGCACCATAAATCAAACAGTGCGTCAACTTTACACATTAAGGTTAGAGCACAACACCTTTTAAGACTGCCTGCAAGCCAAATCATATGGGCCACAAGGCCTGCTGCTGTTACCTTTCTTGAAATGTTCTTATTTTCTAGGTGTGAAGAAGCATAATCAGATTAATTGAGTTGAAAAGAATGGTTATGCAGGAGAGAGAAGATTTGCAACCATCTTTGTAAATAATCAATGTCACTTCAATAAATGAAGTTAAGAGAGTATGTACACTTTTCTACCTTTGGTCGAACAGTTAACGACGACTGGAAACAATCGATGGCTTTTTCATATTCTCCCGTGAGGTTGAAGAGCACGCCAAGTCCACACTGAACATCAGCATCTGTGTCTTCACCAGGCCGTTGGTTAGCTGCTGCAATATATAAATCTTGAACTTCTTGTATTAATTCTCTGTAAGTAGCAAAACACATTTGTTAAATATTGCTTTACTTTACAACTTCATTGTTTATTTTTCATATGCAATAGTGTACAAAGATTTAGAATACAGTATGTGAAAGCATGAATCAATTTTTGTTACTACAATTGCAAGACTGAAAAGAATAAATTTTGTAAAATTTAAGACAAAAATTACATATAAAAGAGTTCCAAGAAACACTTTTGGAAGAGAGTGCATACTGTAGAGTAAAGGTTACAACACTAAGGCATCTTGCTAAGACTTCATATTGGAACAAAATACACTGTTAACTTCTGGATACAACAATAGTAATGAAGAGAGGCAAAATTGATGTCTTGGAAGCCCTGAACCTTCACGGTATGCTCAAAATAGCTTATTATTGAGGAAACAGCATGCAACAGTACAGTACGTTTGTACCAATTAATATTTAGAAGTACTGTAAATGAGAAATCCTTCTGCATTACACCAAACACGAAAACCAAAACCCCTGACCATCCAAGTGGTTGGGCACCATTCCGTTCCCCCCCCCCCTTCCCCTGTCCCATCCCAAATCCTTATCCTGATCCCTTCCAAGTGATATAGGCATAACGGCCTGGCGCTTTCTCCTGACAGTTCCCTTCCATTCCACATTGCGCCAAACACAAAACGTGAACTAGGCAAGATTTGCTCCTATAGGGGCAACTGATAACGAAATCCTCACGCTGGCCTAGCTCAAAATATGAACAAGGTCGTTAAATGAGTACTACGGGCTGGTGTAATGAATACAGGAAGTGTCATGTAACAGTAACATTTCTAGAACAGTTCTAGTACTGTGCTAGAACAGTAGAACAGGAAAACAGTAGTCTTCCTTAGTCTTCCTTAAGACCACTCAATAGCTCGGTCGATGGAGCTTCGGCCTCACATGCGTGGGGTCCACAGTTCGAATCTCCTAGAGCCCAGGTGAGTGGCATGCAAGAGTGTTTGCTTGTAGCGGCTATAGTGTTTCTACAGCTATAAGGACATTTGTAAATAGATTATGTCCAGTCTAACGGTTCCATAAACACATCAGTTATCCTTAATATACAACCTGGGAGCTAACGTGGTTGCCAGCATCCTTGGTTTTGTACGGAGTTCTTCATCTTTTGGTAATAAATGACAGTATTCTGGATTAGTCTGGATCCATTCCTGAAAATAAATCACTGTTTTAAATATAATGAAGATATCCAAATTAATTAAGTGGTATAGGGTACTGTATTATCTGTCCATAAGTTAACAAAATTTGATTAAATTCATGTCTGATGAAACTTTTTATTTAATTTTCAGCATCTATCAAAATGAAGATTTGTTTTAATCATTTCATTCTGTCAAATGAAGATTGATTTTAATGAAGAGAAATCCCTCTGAGGGGACGATGATGTTAATAATGTTGGGGCGGACATAAGAGAAAGTTGTGTAATGGCTCCCTAGAGTGTGAGGACAAGGCTCTTACTAACCTCAACTAAACATCTCCTGTCCACCACACACACATGATTTAATATTTCAATACATTGGTTCTGCGTAATAATGTAATCTATAAATAATTTTAGGCATTTTCTTATGAAATATATACAAAATAAATTAACAATTTGTGCAATTTTTAAGAATATCACCTGGTTTAAGTAACACCTGTCCCTTTCTATATAAACACAAGGCACAGTTATATTGTAAAGCTCACCTTTAATGAATTGCATGCAAGCGTCTGGAATGATTCATTAGTATAAGATGTTGCAAGAGCCATCCAAGCAACACTGTTACTGGCGTCGAGTTCGACACATCTGCAAGTAAACAAATTCTGTCAACATCAGGGTCATTTGTGGATAACTTAATGCATAGGATAAAATATAAATAATGAAAAGGCAGGATGAAACTTAATTGGAGCAGATGAAGACTTGAACGCAGGACCCTGGTCTGGGAATGCAGACTACGCAACCTGCCCCAGTACTGCACATGGATGATGATACCAAGTGAAAGATACTTATATACAATCAATATATTCTAACCTTCTAAGAGCTGAAATTGCTGCAGGATCTTGTTCATTTTCAGCATGAGTTACCCCAAGCAGCAGCCAGGCCTCAGAGTTTTCAGGGTTCTGTTGTGCTGCCGCCTCAAACAACAACACTGCAGATGGAAGGTCTCCTGCCTCTAAGCACCGCTTCCCTTCACTCAATGGGTCAGGGTGGTCTTTCAATGGATTATCTTCCTCAAACTGGTAATTCTGTCAAGGAGTGACAACGAATATTTACCTAAAGATTTATTAATATAAAATATAATCTTGGAAAGAATTTTTCTACCCACTCTACTAAATGATTGCCAAACTAAATTTTAACCCTTGGAATGTGGCTATCATCAAAGGTTAACTTTCGGCTAGTGGGAAAAAAATGATCTCATACATTTGCAAGTAAAATGTAAGAAAAATGGAAACACACACAGATAGCCAAGTCTTTTCTAGTTTTGAGCACATCGGGAGGGAGCTGGTGAGGCAAGTCACAGGATCTGTCAACTGATGATGTAATTTGCTGACTCATCATGCAAGGGGGTGAGAGCTGTCATGTTCAATTTAGATGTTTTATATGTTTACTGTTTCACTCTACACAATGTGGGGAATAACTCAATTTATTTACGCTTAACTGACAAAATCAATGAGTACTGTATATAGATCTAAAATGAAATGTGTACATCTATATTGCACACAAATCTGTTCATGGCACAGCTCAAAGGAAGCGTCTTGCAATCCACTCCACTGCTGCTATTCTACTGTATTTGGAAACTTCACTCAGAAGTGGATTCGAAGACTGGCGAAGAAAGACAAAATTGTGGATTTAATGATAATGGTATATGATAACCTTTAACCACTGTGATGCACCGAGTTTAATGTGAAATTCCCCCCGTGCGCATGAAATCAAGTGTTCCCTAAAAATTATTTTTTATTTGTAAAATGATAAATTCCCTTCCCTGAACATGTCTATGTAAAAATAAATACCAAATTCCACTTACTTAGGCTGTGGGGACATGGACAAGGTGCGCTCTGACGTCATCAGGGGCTGGTCCCCCGTGTGTGAAGCTCCCAGACATGGTCGCGCGGGCCATTCATGCAACGTGTGTTGCCACAAATATATTTTCAATTATTTGCTCTATGTATTTCCAATACGATTTTTTTTATCGTATATGATGCATAATTATGTCCTTTACAATTTGTATAGAGTAGAACGTTCATAATGTTCCATGGAACTGTGATTCATGTGTCAGTAATGTGTTCCCAATAAATGTTTATGGTAGCAATATTATTTGTTAAAAATTCACTAAAATTACAATATGTACAGTTTCACACACTATTTACACAGTAACACACTGTATTACACACTCAGTACTTCGGAAGTGAGTAATAATCAACGAAGTAGTCCATGGTACACAGCGCAACTTCGCTCTCGTTGCACCAGGTACAGATAGATTTTCGCTTACTGTTTTTTCGTTCTGTGTGCTTACAAATAACGCACTCACGTACACCCTTGGCTTTAGTACTTGTAGGTGGTATGTAGCCAAGCTTGTAAAGCAAAAGGTAGTATTGAAAAGATTATAGGAAAAGATCAATTTGTAAGGTAGTCTTGAAAAGATCGCTTTGTAAAGTCCCACACAGGAAGACTCAGCTACCCTCAAAAAGTGTCCATCAATCTGGAAGAGATTCAGCCAGTCTGGAAGAGATTCAGCTATTGTTGAAAATATCTATGGAAAACACCACCATGGAAGCCGCTAACACTGTTCATCTATGCTACTTGTATCAGATGCATCATCACTGAACGCAGAAAACGATTCATCTATGTATCATCTATATAAATTGGAGATGGCATGGTGGGCAAGGGTGGCGCTTAGAGCTACAACTGGATACGCTCGCTGTATTGTCCTCATAGGTGCTGTATCACTTGCATACGACTTTTGTGTGGTCCTTATTGCGCCTAGCTTCACAAATATCATGACCCTTATGTTCTTCAAACAATAAGGTTTGAATTTCACCGACAGAGCGCAATCTTTCACCACCGTGTCGGACAGGTGTTTGGGAGCCAGAGGCGTGTGCGCCACCCATTGTTGCTCACTCAGTACTAACCCAGCCAGGTTAGTACTGGGTTAGTACTCCTAGCGCATTCTGGGAATTTTTTCCAAGATGGCTGCCTTTCACTGGAGGTCCTAAGAGTCCATTTTGTACACAACCAACAGAGCACACATTTTGAATGGGTACGAAAAAATCCAAAAGAGTTTCCTCAGTCGGCGCAGTTTTCCACCGACCGAGTTTTCTCGGTTGCGCAGTCTAGTGGTTAATGTTAAATTCAGAAAGCCATGGATGCTCTATTAACTCATCCTCTCGGGCCATTTTTTCCCATTCATCCTGTAAACTTTGCCAAAAATCTTCCTTCTCTTTGGAGCTCATAGTTTCACTATCAATTGTCATCTTGTCCAATGATCCTGTGAAAAGATGTAAGTTTAAATGAGTATGGAAAATATCAAGTTAAATCACAGACCTGCTGTGATCCAAAATAATCTACTTTTAAACTAAATTATTTAGCTATCTTGAGGTTATCTTGAGATGATTTTGGGGCTTAGCATCCCCGTGGCCCGATCCTCGACCAGGCCTCCATTTTGTTACACCCCCCCAGGAAGCAGCTTGTAGCAGCTGTCTAACTCCCAGGTATCTATTTACTGCTAGGTAACAGGAGCATCAGGGTGAAAGAAATTCTGCCCATTTGTTTCCGCCTTTGCCGGGGATCAAACCCGGAACCTTAGGACTACGAATCCGAAGCACTGTCCACTCAGCTAAGGTAATTTAAATTACTGAAAATACGGTATAAATTATAATGAACTGAAATGAAAGTTAAGCACTGCAAGAGCAAAGAATGATGGGCTATAATAAGCTGAACAAGAATATGAAAAAAGCCACAATGTAGGATAAAAAATAGAAGGGCTTTTTCACCCAAAGTATTATAAACCCATGGAATGGCCTGCTAGACAGCTTCCTGTTCCCATTCAGGCCACTAAGGGTGGTGGCCCTCAGGGATATAAGTAAGACTGAGTACAGATGGGAAATCTTTCTGAGAAATGCACTTGGTACATCCCATTACCTCCCTTGTTGCCTAACCTCCCTGCTGATTTCAAGGTGGTGACACCTGACAGAAGTTGTGGTAGTAGTCAGACAGGCCAACTAGTGATTAGCAGAATGCCCATTAGTGATCTCATTGACACAGAGAAGCACATGTAAGGAGTTAGAGTGCACTATATTTGAATGAGCCTTAATAAAAAGTCATTCCAGGATGAATCAAGAATTCTCGAATGTCTTCACTGAAATTGAATGACCCAGCCGGGATAGGTGAAAAGATCCCTGTTGCACCAGTGCAGAGTCGGGCACTGACCGGTACTGAATAGTCAGGACAAACGAGTGGTGAACCTCAAAATAACAGCGGTGAATGAAACGCCATTTTCTGGGTGAGCCCGGGAGGCTCCCTGGAGCTATTAGACTGATATACAGTACACTATATTTGCCTGGGGCATCAGTCAATGAAGTTCTGCCTACCAGGGATCACGAGCCAGAACCTGGACCCCTCAGAGAGGCACATGGAGCAGTGGCCTATAGAAACCCCCATGTGTTTGGGAGTATTCCATGTCTGCCATCGACTGAGGTTAGGCACCCAGAAAGGTAGGCATAACAAAACAGATCCCACCTGGTAAGAAACTGCAACTGTAAACCAAACAGAGACAGAACCCCCCAAAAAACATAAGGAAACATGCAAACGTAATTCACCGCTTGTCCGCGCAGCCCTTCCCTCCCCGCGCCAGCTACTCACACCTTCAGTTGTGAGGCTCACCTAGAAAATGGCATTTCATTACATTCAATGCTGGTTTTCTGTGGGGAGCCCCTAAGGCTCCCTGGAACTACATCACAAAAGAGAAGGAATTAGGGACTTACTTGGGAGGTGGATGCAACTCGCTCCTCAACATGAAGTCGAGACAACTGGCTGTAACCTGCGACCCAAAGCCCCACATGGACGACTAGGACAAGGAACGCTGGTGAGAAAATGTGCAGCCAGGACCCTGATTGACCTCCAAAATCCCTGCGCCTGAATATCAGCCTAGGACATATTGCCGAAGACAGCAGTGTAGGCGGCAAACTTACAAATGCCGTGGGCACGAAGGTAGACAGCAAGCTGACTAGACTTAATGACCCTGCGGATGACCTGGGAGATCCGAGCTCCTGGAAGAGGGAACAAGGGAAACTGGATCAACCCAAAGTGCATTCCCGGCCACAGAAGCCGAGGCACGCAAGTAACGGTGAAGAACCACAACCGGACCCAACACATGATGCACCCCGGGCCTGCTCCATTGTAAACCAAGCAGCTGCAACATGCCTAGAAGTTGCAACAACACCACATGACACTTCCCAACTTAGAGCTGTAGCAGCTCCCCATGCAGGTGACTTCCTATTAGCAACCCCACAGAAAGGGGACGAAAACCTAAGCTCAGGACCCAAACGGATTTTAAGGAGAGAGCGAGCATGGCCTGATGACACGCGAGGCGAGAGGCAAAAAACAGACACTGCCTCCCTGAAAATTGACACAAACAGCTTCAACAGCGCTGCCGACGCCCTAGCCACTGAGACCAGCACCACAGACGAAGGTCCGGCACTCATCGCCTCCACATCCTATCCCAAGACTGTCCGAGGACAACTCGAGAAGGTAAAAAAGCGCAAGATTGAGGCCAAATGCCCTCGAGCGTGCAAGTCCTCAGCCGCCAAGGACGCCAAAAGGGTGGGAACCTGCACATGCAGCTGAACAAGGCCAACATCCCGAGGAAGCACAGGGGCAAACAAGCATGAATTAAGGCACTCAAACTCGCCACCCAGGTAAACCTGCAGAACGTTAGCAGCCTCCCGCCATTCGAGCGTGTGGGTCTGATAAAACCCATGCCACGCTCCTATGAAAAGAAAGGGCAGTCTGCAAGCCAGGATGACTCCGGATCCTCATAACGCACCCAATATGGGGATGAAGAATCGTACTCAAATGAGGACAGATCCATCACAGAGGCAAAATCTGGGTCACACAGGAGGTAAGCCGCAAGAGCCTCCCGAACCTCCTGAGCACTAGAGGTTTCGAGAGGCAGAACCTCCGAAAAGATAAACCCGACCCCAAAATCATACTCATACAGGGAAGGGAGGTAAGAAAACCCCTCCCCTGCAACAACAAACCCCACAAAGAGGGCACCAAAACCCAAGTGGGATCAGAGGGGGCTCAAGCCCCCCAGGTCAACTCATCCCTGGGAGCCTCCAAACCAGGCCCTGGGGCAGAGCTGTCCCCCACGCCCTCTACCCCTGAAGAAAAGGCAGAGTCCCGGGGAAAGGCAGCAAAGAAGGGGGTCTGCTGATAGGACCCAGAAGTTTCGGCAGGAGGAGCGGCCTCAAATGTCTCCGTCTCCAACTCGAATGGGGCAACCCTGTTAGCCGCCGAGCCTCATTACCAACTAAACCCCGCCCCAACTCTGAAACCTTCAGACTTTGGGAGCCAGGAGCAGGGCAAACAAATAGTGGCCTACTGGGGGAAGAACTTGCGGCAAGGCAAGGCCTGGCAAGGTACTGGTAGCCGGTTAACCCAAAATCTAACATGGGGGATTAGCTAGATATAAATTGGACCCCCTGTGACGTGTACAAGCACGGGGTGTCTAGAGGGCCCCCCGTGCTCCAGATGATACTCTATCATGTGTATGTTAACCTAAAGCAAATCTTTAACCCAACCAGCTGTTTGTCCACTGGTCTGGTCTTGCACAAAGTGAGTAATTAAATCTGTATCATTTTACCCGAGAACAGGTTGGATTATACATAGCTGTAAGGCACAGTTGTTATTGTACACATTTAATAACATTAGTGGATTAGAAGCACAAACATAGTATAGGTCTATTTTGTTATGCAAAGTATAGTACACAGAACATACAGTGTGTGAGTGGTGGTATTACCTGTACTTAGATGAGAAGGTAACTGGGTTTAACTTATCCCAGGACACTGGGAATGGGAATATTATATGAAGCAATCAGAATTTTCTTCATATTTTTTATAAATACATTAAATGCTACATACTACAAAATATGGAAGCCTGTTCCATATTTTAGGACTCTTTTATTTGCATGGCATATTTACTTTGAGTACCATTAAGCAATACTGTGCCTATTTCTTTCATGATACTTTGAGTGTCATTACATTTCTCAGAAAGAATTTCAAGTTTGAGTTAGCATAAACAGCCCTTACACTGTTTAGAAGATGAAGAGCACAGAGATGTGTGCAGAGCCTGAATGATGAGGTGGAGAAAATGAGGCAAACTGCCAGGTGACACTGCAATGTCACCTACATTAATACATTAATATTCAGCAAAACAGAATGGAAACAAAATGCATCATCAATTATTGTACAATTAGCTGATAATACACTAGCCTCCTTATAGTTAGGCAAGATTCATTCAGATGCATTTCAAAGTAGGGATAAATTAGGGACATTTGGACTTCATTACAATCCAGTTGTAGACTGCACAACCACCCACAACAACACTGTTGTACATCTACAACACTGGTACACCCCAGTGTGATAACATTTGCCAGACACACCACTGGCCCTACTATCCATCTATTTCACAATTCTCAAAGCAGGTGAATAAGGATGGGAAGTGTTTTGCTCTTTTTGATGCCTGGCTCTTGCCCTGCAGCTCAGTGCTTAAATATTACATAGACTACCAGGTTATGGAGTGAAGTGAAAACTGCCAAATTACCTGGCTGCAGGTGTATTGATATGCTGGACTATCAAGAGAATAATGTATCAACAAAAGCTGTAGTGATTTTGATGTCACATACTAGAAAATAAGTATCAACTTGTACCACACTTAAGAGACGGTAACCTGATTAGCGCTATACTAGGGAACTTTTACTTCGAACATTGTCATATTTGGTGATTACTGAGATCACTTTGATCTTTGGCAACCTTGGGGATAACCAAAGTGATTAGTACCATACATGAGGGGGGGAGGGCCTGTCACCATGGTTATTGCCATAATTAGGGATGGTCACCTGAACCATAACTTGGGGAATGATAATGGCAACTTGTTTTTGTATGCAACCATACAAGTGGAAATTACATTTAGTTACTATTTTGACCAGGTAGTATTCTCTAAGAGTGGTCTTACCTAGTTGTTTAGCAAATTCTTCTCCCCATCGTTCATGTGGCTGTTGACGTTCCTTGATAAATTCCGCACTCCAAGACTCAGATAGGTTACCTGCATCTTTTGCATTTGATGTCAGGAATTCCTCACTCCAATCTTTATTAACATCACTTTTGGCTCCTTCTCCTAATTTTTTAATAAACGACATAAACTGCAAAAATGCACAAAAAATTTATTAAATATTTTTCTCTAGTGGTCTCAAAATAAATTTGTCTTAATTTTATGTTTTTTTTTTGTACTCATACTGAGTGTTTTCTCTGGCAATATTATTAAACCAGTTTTTTTTTCTTGTATTAGCATTCTTGATTTTTAAACCAAATCAAACATAGTCTCAACTTCACCTAAAATTACAAGTATGATGAGCACTGGTACAACTACAGCATTAATCAAAATAATATATATACTGTATATATATACTTCTTACATGCATGAGTAGCTTCAGCAAAAATAATATAAGACAAAAGATTATGATGGGAGAAAGTAAGAATATAAAATTAACAAAAAAACCAGCGTTGAATGTAATGAAACGCCATTTTCTGGGTGAGACCCGGAGGCTCTTCGGAGCTATCCAGGCTGATATTGCTAATGTCAGACTTTGGCATCAATCATGTGTATGGCGTTCTTAGGCCTACCGGGGACCACGAGCCACAACCTGGCCCCCTCAGAGAGGCACGAGGAGCTATAGCCTATAGAAACCCCCATGTGGTTGGAAGAATGGAATCTGCCATCTTTGTCTGCCATCTACTGGGGTCAGGCATCCAGAAAGGTAAGCATCCCAAAACAAACCCTTATTCTGATTAAAAAATTGCTACTGAGAGCCGAACTAGTGAACAGAACTCCCCAAACAAAAACGAGCTAACGAGCATGACGTCACCACGTTGTGGTGACATCAACAAAATGCATCATAAATTACTGTACAATTATGATGTACAGTAATTTATGATGCCATGTTCACTTTGTCCATGTTCAATTCCCTGCAAAAGCAGGGAACTGAACATGGACAAAGTCCAAACTAGCACGAACATTAGTAAACCAAGAACACACACTAAAACACACAATAATGTGTAGTAGAGAATAAGGAAAAAATGGAAAACACAAGAAAAAGACCAGAAAGACAGTCCAAGCACCAGCAGCTAGGGACAAGTATGTAGAAGCAATATGAGGAACGAAGAAGACAGGCAGCAATCAGGAACGAAATGGACATGACCTACTACACAGAGAAGCCAATGGATATGGAAGGGCTCAGCCAGGCACTGCACGACGGTCAAGGAATGCGTGTTAAGAGGCAAGAAAAGACCCAGGCATGGAAAGACTAAAGAAAGATCTCGAAAAACGGGGCCGTGCCCCACCGTGTAACGAACAACACAGACGGACAAGGAAGGTCATGGGAAGAAGCATGCAAGGGACCAAACAAAACACCACAACCAATCCCCAACACTCGCCCAAAAACCACGAACCAGCACCTGGCTGAAAGAGACGTTAGACCACATAAGCTCACCTGCAGAGCGTAGACACTATTGTGTTACGACACATCGTAGCCGAGAATATTCCGGGAACATTGCTAGTGGAATAAGGCCAGAGCAGCATGTGCAGGAGAAGAGTAGGATAGAAACGGATGCAGTGCCACACACCTGTATGCAGAGAAAAAACAGGCGTTCTCCCCATATTTGTAATCCAGAACACCCCCAGTATCTACAAGGCACGGACTGGAGAGGTAAGAGGAGCGAGAGTGGCGAATCACCCGAGAGAAAAAGGATGTGGAACACCAACACCTGTGTACACTGTCCATAAACAAAACAAACTCCCACGGCGCACGCACAGGACGCATTAGGTCCGAACCGCACAACTCGCCTGGCGGGGAGGGCACCAACTAGGAGTATGTAAGGTATATTATCAACACCGAGACAGAGCACGGAGAGAAGATATAAGTATAAAAAAATGAGTACCGAAAACTAAAAAGAAGCACGGAAGAGGACCAACGAGTCTTAGAAAGGACTGGAGGTAAGCCTCACTGGAAGACGACAGACATTCCAATAATACGGGAAGTATCGAAAAACTTCCCAAACCTTCAAGATCCAACAGAAGCAAGCACAAAATCACGAAGGCTCATAAAGGCACAGTTGCACCCGAGACCAATGGTCACGCAAGACCCCGAAACAAGGGGAACATGACCTCAATATGACTGAGAATCGATGTCCCAAAGAAGAAGGGTGAGAAAACGGAGAGTACCCACCGGCAGGACGGAACCGATGGACCCGAAGGGACCAGGAACTGAACCCAGGGAGGGGCCGATGCCCAACAAACTCGTACACAGAGGGGGGAAAGGAAAACCCCACCCTCCATAACCGCAAGCCCCGCTCAGAGGGTAGAAAAACCCCGGCGGGATCCAACAGGGGCCCAAGGCCTCCAAGTCAGCCCCTCCCCAGCCCCAGGAACCCCCAAAGCAAGACCCGGGGCTGAGCCGTCACCCCAAAGTTCCACCCTCATAAGAAAAAGCCGGGGCACCCGAGAAACAATAAGGAAGGGAGCCCACTGGCAGACCCATACATCACGACTGAAGGAACAGGCTCGAATGCTTCCGACGCTACCCCAGAAGGGGCAATCCCCGAGATCGCCCGAGTCTCAAGACCAACGAAACCCCGCCCCGATCCCAAAACTCACAGACGGTGTGCATCCGGAAGCAGGAAGGGGGGGGGGGGGGACCAGACTAAACCAAAACAAGGGAAAGACAAGGGAGCGCGGACGGAAACAAAACCGAAGTGACCAACACCCCCAACCCTGGGTCACAACAACCAAAACGGGGCAGCCTCGGGGCTTCCAGGAAGCAAATAACTTGTACGTTGCAACCACCTGAACCCAACATGCAATGCATGTGTTGCCTGCACCCACAGTCAGCATAGGACTGGGTAATTGAGTCACAAACAAGCAACAAAACTCGAAGGATTCCGGGTCGACGGTGTCATCGACCCAACAGGCAGCAGACTGAGGTAAAAAACAGTGAGTCACCCTGAGACAAGGGGACAGAGCAACCCTCAAACTCGCACAAAGTGAGGGGGGGGGGGACTCAGGGCTCACATCCATCGAATCCACACACCCCTGTGGTGATTCCCATGGTCCTGAGATGGAACTCACGCTCAGGGAAGCCCAGGCAGGGTATTGCTAACGGCGCCCAAGTCTACCAAACAACTTTCTAAGAACTGAACCGCTGAGACGTGTACACTCACAGGGACCAAGCAGGGGGGTAATACCGGAAAAAAGAAAAGTACTCAGTACACAGGGGGCAATAACCAAGGCAGGCAACAAAAAGAAAAAGAAAATCCCCAAGAGGACAGCGTACCCAGGCGGAACAGAGCCGGCCGCTATGATTGGTGAAAACAAGCTGCATAGTACCTTGCGCCCCTTACCAGTGCAAACTGCCTCCTACCCTAAGGCGAACAAGGGAGTCGGAACACCCGAGCACACAAAGGGTGGCCGAAAACCGAGCAGTAAACAGCCAAGCAGAGGCAGAACCCAAGGAACTTGTGGAAGGTTGCCCCAAGCCACAAGGGCAGTACTTACCAGGCACCTAGGGAAGGGAACCCTAGGTGCATGCAGCCCGAGTATTGAAGAATTACTCCAGGCTCACACATTCCCTATAAGACAGCCACCACGCCACAAGGCACAGAGCTGAGACCAAGACTGGAGCCAGAGCACAGGACCTCTGCCTAAGGCATCAGCCTCAGAACTTGGGGCTTGGGTAGCCGGCGTGTGGGGTCTGGGGCTCCCCCTTCCCCCTCCCGGGGAGTGGGGGAGCTGCGCAAACGACGGCGTGGCGACGTCATGCTCGTTAGCTCGTTTTTGTTTGGGGAGTTCTGTCCACTAGTTTGGCTCTCAGTAGCAATTTCTTAAACAGAATAGGGGTTTGTTTTGGGATGCTTACCTTTCTGGGTGCCTGACCTTGGTCAATGGCAGACATAGAATGCTTCCAACCACATGGGGGTTTCTATAGGCCAATTACTCCTCATGCCTCTCTGAGGGGGCCAGGTTGTGGCTCATGGTCCCCGATAGGCCTAAGAACTCCATACCCATGACTGGTGCCAAAGTCTGACATTAGCAATATCAGCCTGGATAGCTCCGGGAAACCGATGGGGCTCCCCCCAGAAAAATACAAAATAGAACAATGAGTGGAATAAAATGCCTCCATTCTTTTCAAGGCCAAGGAAGGTCAGGGGCATTCCTTGGCCTTGGTGGTTTCACCTGCTTTTACCTGGTCGCTAGTGATGTCAGGCAAGAATGTGGACGTTCTCTCATTTCTGAGGGATTGACATCTAACAAGGCAGCATACAGTGTAATCTTACTTGATGGGGATAACTTCACTATAAGAACTCAGAAATGGAAAAGAAATCCTACTACAACAATAAGGTAATATAACTGGGGGATACCTAATTAAAGGTGTTATATAACTCTTCAACAAGTTCTACTGACCTCTGTGTTAGAAAACTTTGGATCGTCGACAGTTCCCAAGAGTTCATTAGCTGTTCTGGCTAGTTCTGAATCCTCTTGTGGGTTATACTCCTCCACCCATTTACTGGCCTCTGCACTGGCTGCTTCATCTCTGTAATGATAAAATCCATCAAAACAAAACTTGTTTGACAGGGTATAAAAGCACAATAACTATGAAAATATTTGTTTCTAGAAGCAGCTTTAGTATGCTAAATATAAAACTTTGACATCTAGTACTAAAAATGCACCATAAATTAGTATATAATGTCAGTGAAATGCATAAGGCAAATTTGCCCATATCTGGATGATGCCCAGTTATCAGACATCAATGCTGAAGAAAACTTGAACTCTTAAAATATACAGTATAACACTTCCATAATATATTGAAATATGAAAGGTATCTAATACAAAATTTTTAAGATAAATATTATAATGTTTATTTTCCCCTCATTTTGTATTCTGTATTGCAAAAAATCATAGTTATTTATTTAACTGACAAATTTACTGGACATGCAGTATTATGATTTAGTTTGTTCTCATTTCAAGGCATATGTAGCATGTTTAAAATGTGGGATGACATAGAGGTAGACACATCTAGCACGACACATTGCAGGTAATAGACAATATGCCTGTAAATTGGCACCAAAATTGACCTGATCCAGACACCAAAAACCATGAACATGTCCAGAAATCAATTGAAAATTCCAAGAAAACATGCCACACACACACACACACACACACACACCATGCCACCTTGCATATAAATATAAAATCCTCGAGGAATAAACCCCAGCATATAGGTGTCTGGATATCAGAGGTAAACAAATTGGTTGTAAGCGAGAGATTGCAAGTGGCATCGGGGATGGGGGGGAGGCACCACGAATGCTTTGATTATATGAACACACAAACCATGTCTCTGTCATTCTTGGCTGGACTGTTAGTTTTATTACAGTGGCTCCCTCACACTTTGCATGGTCCTTCAAGGACAATTTTGAAAATCTCCTTGTGGTATCAGTCTTACGTGTCATCCTGCCCAACTATGAACGCTCCTTTCCATAACACAATACTATACAGATCATATACCTCAGGGACCAGCAGGATGAACAAGTTCAGTTAAAGGGGCCTGTATGACAATGCTTCCATGAACCAACAACAGTTCTGCTGTCTGAATTAGTTTTATTTTATTTTCAAAAGAACATTAAAATTAATAGCCAAAAGAAGAAATATCTTCAATTGACTATAAATAAAAATCAACAAAGGTTAATAGAATTATTGTGTGTTTTAAAACTTACACAGAAACTCAAGGTGCTAGAGCAAGAACTTACAATAGATTCTCATTAAGATACTCGTGAGCCCATCGTGTATCACTGTCGGGTATGATATCTGGAGACGTGAGGCCATGTTGTTGTTCGAGAAATTCCTTTGTCCAGTCCCCTCCTGGACCAATCTCCTGAGTGCAGACAGAAATGTAGGATTAATACTTTCGCTGGCCCGACAGGGCACCCAAATCACACTGGAAAGTAGGCCGTGCATTCCCGGGGAGCACACACCCCAATGTCAAACTCATTCACTTACAATGTTCATACTTAATAATAAGACATCTTATCTTGAGTTATCTTGAGATGATTTCGGGGCTTTAGTGTCCCCGCGGCCCGGTCCTCGACCAGGCCTCCACCCCCAGGAAGCAGCCCGTGACAGCTGACTAACACCCAGGTACCTATTTACTGCTAGGTAACAGGGGCATAGGGTGAAAGAAACTTTGCCCATTTGTTTCTGCCTCGTGCGGGAATCGAACCCGCGCCACAGAATTACGAGTCCTGCGCGCTATCCACCAGGCTACGAGGCCCCTTAACGAGGCCCCTACGAGGCCCCATTGCAAAAATTTTTGCAAGACGACTTTTGCGTCATCTGCGTTAAAAGACGCATTAAAACTGCATTTTTTTTGTTTTATGATGCATTTTGTGGCATCAGGGAGGGAAGTGTTAATGTGGAAAATGGCAAATGTAAAAAGATTATAAACAGACAATTTGGTTCCACAACTAACCTGAACATGTCTCTCCGATGCTAGGTATTCCTCCGCCCAGTTACTGGCCTCTGAGGCTAGGTCAGCAATGCCTGGACCTCTCATGGGTCCAGTTCTGGCTCGCATGCTCTCTATTTCACGCATCTCCTGAAATTAATGTTATCTTCAATTAAAAAATGATTTATCTTGCCCGAAACGCTGTGCGTATTAGTGGCTTTAGACATAGTATGTACTAGCTCTATCTACACATCCAACATCACATATTCGAGTACAAATGCCAAGCAATGTTTATTAAAACATACAAGAACATTCATAATTTACAACAACCACAGTCGTTGTCAATAACTTCAACTTCAATTATCACTAAAACTGGAGTTTCAAATTTGAGATGTCTTCAGAAATCCAGTTTCTCACTGATTCTCACCATTTTTACTTATTATGTGCACAGTTGTCCATTCTACAATGTTTATTTTTTGGTTCTTTCATATACGCCAAACTTTCGGAGTTATAGATATTTGTGTCTCAATTTTAGAGCTTATAAAACTGCCACATTGACAAATTTTTTCTAGTAAACTATACAGTACTGCCAAACTAATTTCTATAAAATAAAAATGGAAGGTCATATACTATTCTGGGACCATGATAACACCAAATGAGCAATTTGTGAAATTTAATATTTTTAAGCTGATTTGAAAACCTAAAATTTTATAATTTTTTAAATTAATTATTTTTAATTGTTTGTGTGTTCATGTTACGATGATGCTCTATTATGAAAAGTTGGGGCATTTACCACTTAGATTAAGCAAAAAAAAACTTTGAGAGTTTGAGCGAGTTTGAGCGCACCTTTTCCTGGCCCTACCTACTCTGCTCCATAAGTCATTGATGGAGTCTCGGAAGATGCTCCACTTTTTAAAAGAGTTATCACCTCCTTGGACCAAACCCATTACCATGAGACACCACACCCACCCGCAAACCACCTGGATTGTTACATAGATATTTGTGATGGTCTGAGAAGCATATTACAGTTCCAATAATAGTCTACATGTAAACTGGCAAATGAACCTTTGTCATAGAGATTATTCTCGTTATAACATTAATTGCCCGAAATGCTATTCGTGCTAGTGGCTGTACAAGAATGTAAGAACTCTTGTACAGTATATATAAATAAGCAGAAAAACCACATGTGAAAAATAGAGAACGCTAAATGCGTTTTCGGCTCAATTCGCCTTCATCAGTGCATTTTAGAATGCCAAAGTTTCTAAAATGCTCTGATGAAGCCGAATTGAGCCGAAAACGTGTTTAGCATTCTCTATTTTTCACATGTGGTTTTCGGAATACTTGGATCAGTGTTTTTGTGAACGTTGTTGCATATATAAATAAATAAAAAACAAAATAAAATAAAATAATGAAACACAAATTGATGGTTTAAAATATAAAAAATGTTTGCTGAAAACTTTTTTTTTTTAAGAATTTGGTTTTCTGTGAATGGAATTTGTTGGCACACTGAAATAGTTTTCAAATTCCATATTTCACATCATCATCAATAATATTTAGCATTAATGTATCTAAAAGTAATGAAACTAAACCTAACCTAGCCTAACCAAACCTTAACCAAATGTAATCTTTTACCTAACCTAACCATGGATAGAGTAGATAATATCACAAATTATGTAGGTGTTCCCAATCCATTCCCTTCAGGAGATCTCCTCCCTGAAGACAGGTTGCTTCAATAACATTTCCATTACTCTACCATCTTAGTGTCATCAGTTGGGGTTTTCACAAATCCTATGCTTAATACAGTAGATGGCTTGTGTGATAGCGACTTAACCAGGTAAAAATCCTTCGAGGACCTTGTATGCCCCAAACCCTACCTCCTCACCTGCCTTGGTTATCTTGAGGTTATCTTGAGATGATTTCAGGGCTTTAGTGTCCCCGCGGCCCGGTCCTCGACCAGGCCTCTACCCCCAGGAAGCAGCCCGTGACAGCTGACTAACACCCAGGTACCTATTTTACTGCTAGGTAACAGGGGCATAGGGTGAAAGAAACTCTGCCCATTGTTTCTCGCCGGCGCCTGGGATCGAACCCAGGACCACAGGATCACAAGTCCAGCGTGCTGTCCGCTCAGCCGACCGGCTGTTGCCTCCCACCGACATTAGTAACCTCGATATGAATTATACTGTAGTGACTGATCAAAATTCCCTCATCAACAGCACAAAAATACTTATACGATAATGTAATTTAACTTAGGGGATGTTTATCAGTGTTCGGACAGTAAAATTTTGAATGTAACATTACACACATGGAAAAAAGCAAGGCCAAAAGTGGTAGTGGTGTTTGTGTGGTGACTGGTTTCAAGAGGCTCCAAATATGATCTTCCTGGCCTTGTAAACTCTATGCAGCCAGAAAAAAGACATGGTTGTTTTTCCTGCGACTATTGTATAGAAAGCTATTAGTTTTATTCTTTTGTTATGTGTTTACATTTTGCAATCAGTTGCCAGCAAGGGTCAATTTGGTAACAAACTTTTTGACTTGTAGTTTTAATTACATTTATGGTAAGAAAAAGACTTCAATGAAATACACATCATAATTTGGATACACACATATATATTTAGCTTAACTGATAGTTGGACCAGTGATGAAAATAACTTGAAGGAACATTTGTAATGGTAGTCAAGAATGATCAGAAACAACATTTATAAGGCTAACCTGCAAGAGGGAATCCATTCTGAAGGCCTGTGGTGCTGCAGTAGCTGCCTGCTGTGTTTCACTCATAAACTCCTCAACGAGCTGGTCTCCTACCACTGCTGGCCCGTACTGTACTTTAAATACTCCTCCTGTTTAAAGAATAAGATAAAGAAAATTATCTTATAGCCTCAGCACCCTACTCCCACCTTTACATCAAGGGTGGCCACAGAAATAAAAATTCTCCAAGAGGCTCTGTCACAAACCCTGCACTTTTTCAAGCTCTGTAACCCCTCTTCCCACACTTTCTTTCAAATATTTATTGATCGTTCATGTCTCACGTTTTTAAAGATACAAAATTAAAAGACAACCATACTTTACCCTGTATTGGAGGACGACCCTGAGGCCATCGCAGGCCTTCATCCACCAGTGATTTGTCACGTGTGACATGGTGAGTGAGGCGAACAAGGGCATTTCCTTCACCGCACTGGGCATCAACCAGGTTACGCAAGGCCATAACTATGTTTGTGTTTGCTTGATGACTTCAGTTTCCTGCAAATTCATATTATAAATTTAATGAAACAACTGGCCATTATGATGTCACTCCATCAAAATAGCTATAAAAAATATAGCAGTCACTAAGCATAATGTCAAATCTGAATACAACATATCAAAAACAACAGCTACTCATCCTTGTTCAGGAGTAGCATTCGTTTGCTGCACAAGCGTCCCGGTAATATAGTTGGGTTTGGCACTAAAGGTTTTGTGTTTAGGGCATAAATGCCAAAACTGTGTTAAGGGACCCGGTGACGGAGGAGATTTTTCTAAATATGAAAACTAGTGAATTTTTTTTAAACAAATCTCTCGTTATTTGGCATCAGTGTCGTGAAAATTTAATTCTAATATGTTAAGAAATGGATTTTTTTAATAAATTAAAAAAAATAAATGGGTGCAAGATGGGCGGCAACCGGTACTGATAATAATGATAACACCACCTATTTACTGGCAATCAGGGATAAAGAGATGCAAGTACCTGTCCGACGCACAAAGAAGAAAAGTAGTAGTAAGGAGGGTCTACTAAGTAGATATGCAGCTGGTGCCACCTGGAGGGCCAGATTTCACACATAATAATGAGTTAATATGTTATTATGCTGTATGTTATTATATATCATATAAATACATTGCCCAATGGCAATATTTCTTATGTCTCTATGTACGAAAAGATGACAACCACTTTTTGAAGGGTTTTATTTTATTTTTTGTTTTTTTTCTCTCCTTTGTTTCTATGTGGATTTTGTTGTGACTTCTACATCTTGGAGAATGCATATCTGGCATTACGCATTTGAAGTTGAACCGAAATTGGTCAACATGTTAATAAGCCACAGGTGGCAGAAGTTGTGACTTTTTTTTTTTTTTTGGCTTATTTATTTACAGATTTCAAACTCTACTCTCTTTATCTATTTAGGTTGTACTGATGAAATGAGGACCAGATGAGGGTCTTATCACTTATACAGTATGTGGGCAATAAAGTTACTGCAATATATATGTTTGTTATAAGTACATACGAACATAAGAATGAAAGTAACTGAAAAAGGCCTATTGGCCTTTTTTTTATATATATTTTTATATATATATTTTTAAAGGCCTATTGGCCTTTTATTTATTGGCCTAGGTAGCTCTCCTATTAATATCCACCCAATATCACTCATATATATATGTCTAACCTACCGTTAAACAGTTAAGGGGACCAGTGTCTGTTTTACAGTTATCCCTAATGATCCCCAATATTTTGAGTTTTTTGTTGGGTTATTTTTCTTGACTTCCATTTCAAACCATATTGACCTACAACTTTTATACATTCGCATACGAATGCCAAGCAATCCTAATTAAAACTTACAAGATACTGTATGTCATAAATTCGAAGTACTATATACAGTACATTGTCGAGAACCTTAACTTCATTTTTCTCTATGAACAGAATTTTCAACTTTGAGACACTGTCAAAAATTCAGTTTCTGACCAATTCTCATAATGTTTACATATTATGTGCAAAGTTTTTAGTTCTAAGGTGTTCTTGTTGTTGTTTAGTCATAAAGCCATAACGTTTGGAGTTATAAATTTTTGGGTCTAAATTTTGCACATATTTGGATGGCAACATTGAAAAAGTGTTTTACAGTAAACTATACTCTCAAACAATATTTTGCTACAAGCAATATGAATGTTATATGCCATTCTGAGACCATAACAATTGGTTACGTATTAATATTTTGACACCAAATTTGAAATTGTGAATTTGTTTATATTTTTTCTGTTCATGGTATGATGTTGATCCATTAGGAAAAGTTGGAGCAATTACAATGAAGATATTAAAAAAAAAAAAAAAATTTCGTGTGAGGAAATTTTGTTGCACTGTCATTGGGCTCCTTAAATTTTAAAATGTACATGGTACATCGATCAAGGCAAATGGAGAGACCTTTAACAAGCTGCCAGCTTCCTGTCCTCGTTGAGGCCACTAGAGTTAGTGATCCTCAGGTAAATCAGGGTTCATTCTCGACTCACAGTCGAGAATTCCGGGTTCAAATCCCAGGCGGGACAGAAATAGTTGGCTGCATTTTCTATCACCTAATGCCACTGTTCACTTAGCAGCAAGTAGGTACTCAGGGATTAGTCAGCTTCTTATGGGGTCGTATCCTGGGCAGGATTAGTAATTCAACCTGGGGGGGGGAACCTTGATATAAGAATGTAAGAACTCTTGTATTTTTAAAAAGAAAAAAAAACGTGTATGAAAACACTCTGGCTGCCTGTTCTCTAACACAATGAATTATTATTTTTGTATTATCAGATGGTGGCCTCCTAGAGGTATCCTCCACAATAGTTATATCAAGAGTCTCAAAAACTTGCTCTCATTAAACTAAACGGAAGAGAGCTCACTCACCCATGGGTCTGGAGAGCTCACTCACCCATGGGTCTAAAGAGCTCACTCACCCATGAGTCTGGAGAGCTCTCTCACCCATGGGTTATCTTGAGGTTATCTTGAGATGATTTCGGGGCTTTAGTGTCCCCGCGGCTCAGTCCTCGACCAGGCCTCCACCTCCAGGTACCTATTTTACTGCTAGGTAACAGGGGCATAGGGTGAAAGAAACTCTGCCCATTAATTCTCGCCGGCGCCTGGGATCGAACCCAGGACCACAGGATCACAAGTCCAGTGTGCTGTCCGCTCGGCCGCTCGGCTCCCTGGGTCTGGAGAGCTCACTCACCCATGGGTCTGGAGAGCTCTCTCACCCATGGGTCTGGAGAGCTCACTCACCCATGGGTCTGGAGAGCTCACTCACCCATGGGTCTGGAGCGCTCGCTCACCAATGAGTCTGGAGAGCTCACTCACCCATGGGTCTGGAGAGCTCATTCACCCATGGGTCTGGAGAGCTCACTCATCCATGGGGGGTCTGGAGAGCTCACTCACCCATGGGGGTCTGGAGAGCTCACTCACCCATAGGTCTGGAGAGCTCACTCACCCATGGGTCTGGAGAGCTCACTCACCCATGGGTCTGGAGAGCTCACTCACCCATGGGTCTGGAGAGCTCACTCACCCATGGGTCTGGAGAGCTCACTCACCCATGGGTCTGGAAAGCTCATTCACCCATGGGTCTGGAGAGCTCACTCACCCATGGGTCTGGAGAGCTCACTCACCCATGGGTCTGGTGAGCTCACTCATCCATGGGTCTGGAGAGCTCACTCACCCATGGGTCTGGAGAGCTCACTCACCCATGGGTCTGGAGAGCTCACTCACCCATGGGTCTGGAGAGCTCACTCACCCATGGGTCTGGAGAGCTCACTCACCCATGGGTCTGGAGCGCTCGCTCACCAATGAGTCTGGAGAGCTCACTCACCCATGGGTCTGGAGAGCTCACTCACCCATGGGTCTGGAGAGCTCACTCACCCATGGGTCAGGAGAGCTCACTCACCCATGGGTCTGGAGAGCTCACTCTCCCATGGGTCTGGAGAGCTCACTCACCCATGGGTCTGGAGAGCTCACTCACCCATGGGTCTGGAGAGCTCACTCACCAAGGGTATGGAGAGCTCACTCACCAATGGTATGGAGAGCTCATTCACCAAGGGTATGAAGAGCCCATTTATCCCAAGGGTATGAATCCATATTCATCCAAAGGATCTGAAGAGCTCCCTCACCCCAAGGGTATTGAAAGCCCTTTGGCCCCAAGAGCCTGGAGAGTCCTGTAATCTAAGGACTTTGAGAGCTCTCTCATCCCAAGGGCCTGAAGAGCTCTCTCCCCCAAGGATCTAGAGAGCTCTCTCACCCCTAATTGCCTGGAGAGCTCTCTCCCCCCAAGGACCTGGAGAGCTCTCATCCCCCAAGGGCCTGGAGAGCTCTCATCCCAAGGGCCTGGAGAGCTCTCTCACCCCCAAGGGCATTGAGAGCTCTCTCTCCCAAGGACCTGGAGAGCTCTCTCACCCCAAGAGCCTGGATAGAGTTCTCTACCCATGGGCCTGGAGAGCTCTCTCACCCCCAAGGGCGTAGAAAGCTCTCTCTCCCAAAGACCTGGAGAGCTCTCTCATCCCCAAGGGCCTGGAGAGCTCTCTCCCCCAAGGACCTGGAGAGCTCTCTCACCCCAAGAGCCTGGATAGTGCTCTCATCCCATGGGCCTAGAGAGCTCTCTCACCCCAAGGGTCCTAAAACCTGCCCCACCCAATGGTCCTGGAGAGCTCTCTCACCTTAAGGACCTTCAGAGCTCTCTCACCCTATGGGTCTAGAGAACTCTCTTACCCCAAGATGATTAACTTGGCCTCCTCTCCCCCTCTTACTTCTTCGCCAGAAAACTGTACTGAAGAGGTGACAAGTGCGTCACCTGTGGGCATGACAACGACAGGACCGAGGGCCGTGGCAGGGGCGCGGCGGAGCGCCCCTGCCACCGTCAGTATATAACAAATCCCCGTGATAATGTTAGGGTTGGGGGCCGAGGTGTGGAGGCTGGGTCGGGAGGCCGCTCTCATCTCCCAGTCTTCTTCTCGCTGTCATTCTCCGGCCCACAAGCCTTGATTTATCACTCTCTCCCCTTACCTCTTGGCACGGAGACGCCCGGAAGTGGATGATCGCGTGAGCTTCACCTACAGCAATTAATAATTCATCAATCCCGGCAATATTCTTTAGCAGAGGTAGTAATTTTGTGCATTCCATCAAATACCCGAGACTCGTTCGGGCGCTCTACACTTTATTTACACTTTGTTACTGGCGTACTCTTCGATATTAAACGCGTATAAATAGTTCTAAATTAGTAATTTGGTCTAAGATTAAAACTCATTTGTCTTATTCTGCAAATCTCGAGCTAAAACGAGGTCCACCGCAAGCAAAGTGTGATTTTTACAAGGCCGCGTGTTTGGTAAGAGTTATGGTGGTGGGAGAGGTTCCAGCACTGTGACGGGGCGGGCCAGAGTTGGCCCTCGGGTGGCAGCAGCTCGGGCCAGGCGCGCCTCATGGCTTATACCTGTGCCACTCACTCTTCTTCACTCTCCCTCAACTACAACTCACTCTCTGATCGCTTATGGCTTGCCAAAATATAGCGACATGACACAAGTTGCTGCTGACGTTACTGTAGACTAAGGTATCCTTAGTCAACCTGTATGTATCCAAACATTGGTTCGACTTTGACGTGTCATCATTAAAAGCTTTTGTGTACCTTGTTATATATGTAGGGTTTATTTGTCAAGGAAAGTTATGTTGAGAAAATATCGTACGATATAGGTGCCTGCACAATAGCTGGAATGTTGGATAGCGTGCAAGGCCGATGAACAACGCTCTCATATAATAATTGCGATGTACCCTACTTTTTATAAAAACTAAAAAACTGCCACATTATTGACCAATTTCGTTCAGGTTTATATTCTCGTACAGTCTGAGGCAAGGCTCTTCAATACATATACCTTATAATACAGCACTTTATGTGATAAATCAATCCTATATATACTTACTCCATACGTTAATATAGAGAAGCTGTGTGTACTGACTTTCGCAACATACGTGTATGAAACTATATGAAGGAGTTTGCAAACAGTATAGAAACTGTCTGGACTAGGGAGAGAGAGAGGCTAATATGCAAGCAGCAAATATTTAAATAGTATTTGTGTTTTGATGTAAATATGAGGGATATAATTATGCTTTGAACGATCATATGGCTTTTGACACTATAATTGTGATAGGCTGCATTAGATAGTAGTTTATTGGTCCTCTGTATCACAATGGAGACTGGAGAGGTGTACTCTGCTTCTCGGTGTGTGTATACGCTTTGAGTTTACTTTGGCTCTGGGCTATATCCAGATCAAAAGTACTCTAACTGGTTGGTTCAAATTCAAATTCAAATGTTTATTTAGGTAAAGTACATACATAAGTTACATAGGTAAAGTACATACATAAGTTACATAGGTAAAGTACATACATAGGTTAATTTTGCTGGTCTGTAAGCACTAGTGGTTGCTCTAATAACCCTCCAGAGGTTGATAGACATTATGGGCAACACCTAAACAATACTGTAAACCCTCGTGGCTCAGTTGAAGGACGTTACAAATTTAGTTGCATTCACACAGTTGTCTAATCCTCGGACAGGACAGAAACAGTTGAGCACGTTTTCTTTTACCCGATGCCTCTATCCACCTAGCAGAAAAATAGTTACCCGCTAGTTAAGTAATTGTTGGCTTGTATCGAGATCACACCTTGGTGGAACTCACAACTGTTACCTAACTCGCGGTTACCTATTTACTGCTTGGTGAGCAGAGGCATCAGATGAAAGGAAACGTACTCAATCATTTCTGTCCCCCACAGGGATCGATCCCAGGATCCTTGATTCTGAGTCGAGGACGTAGACTGCTATACTACAAGGATTGTATTGCCATTTAGCAGATCCAAGCTCTTGGGCTAACAATTCTTCTTGGAGCAACCAGCAGTTAACATCGGGACTTCAAGCATATCAATCGTGTCACTGGATGCGTGTTGTTGTAGCCTAGCTCATTAATGGAAACTGAAAATGATCGATACGAGGCAGCTTCTATTTATATCCATTCAAACTCCTATACATATGTTTAACCTACGCTTGAAACAATCCAGTGATTTCGCGTCTGTTATCCAGTGATTTGCTCATGGTCTGTTAGATCATAGTAGGCGGTGTTTTGTGGGTGGTCTTAGAGTCGTGATTGGCACGATTTACAGTTTCAGTGCCCTCATCTGGTCAAGAATAGGAGTGCAAACTCCAAACTGTGTATGGAGTCAGCCGCCACCACATCACTTCCTAGTGCATTCCGTTTATTAACTATTCTGACACTGAAAAAGTTCTTTCTAATGTCTTTGCGACTCATTTGGATACTCAGTATCCCCTTGTGTGTGTACCACCCGTGTTAAATAACCCATCCTTGTCTACCCTGTCAATTCCCTTGAGAATTTTGTATGTGGTGATCATGTCTCTCTAAACTCTTCTATCTTCCAGCGACGTGAGGTGCATTTCAAGCAGCCGTTCCTCGTAAATCATGCCTTTTAGTTCTGGGACTAGCCTAGTTGTATACCTCTGAACTTTATTCAGTTTCGTCTTGTGCTTGACAAGGTACGGGCTCCATGCTGGGGCCGCATACTCCAGGATTGGTCTTACATATGTGGTATACAAGGTTATGAAGAATTCCCTACACAGGTTTATGAAGGCAGTTCTCAAGTTAGCCAGTCTCGCATACGCCGTCGATGATATTCTTTTAATGTGGGCTTCAGGAGACAGGTTTGGTGTGATATCAACTCCTAGATCTTTCTCTCTGTCCGTTTCGTGAAGGACTTCATCTCCCATTCGGTATCCTGTGTCTGGTCGTCTATTTCCCCCACCTAGTTTCATTACCTTACATTTACTTCGGTTGAAATTTAGTAGCCATTTGTTGGACCTTTCCTTCAGCTTGTCTAGGTCATCTTGTAGCCTCATACTGTTTTTTTCTGTCTTAATCCTTCTCGTAATTTTTTAATCATCAGCAAACATTGAGAGGAACGAGACTATTTCTTCTGGGAGATAATTTACGTATTTCAGAAACAGTATAGGTCCAAGGACTGATCCCTGTTGTACTGTGTCAAAGGATTTCTGGCAATCCAATAATATGCAGTCTGCCCACCCCTCTCTTTCTTGTCTGATTCTTGTTGCCTAATCATAGAATTCAATTAATCCTGTGAGACATGATCTGCCATCCCTGAACCCAACTCCCTTGTGTTAGGAAGGGAGGGGGGCGATAGGAGAACATATTATGGGGGGTCAGGAGTGGGGAAATGTGTATGGTGGGGTGTAGGTGTGTTGAGAGGTGGAGATAGTGATATATAAAGGGAGTGTGGAGTTTTTACAGGCCATTGACACACAAGAGCACACACGGGAGACATCTCCCGTCACGCAGGGTGCAGTTGCACCTCCACAGATCTCCAGTATCATCTATTGATACTGGTGATGGCTCAAAAGGGCCACCACTTACGGGCTATTCATGCCCGTGCCACCTTTTGGGTGGCTTAATCTTCATCAATCAATCAATCTTTTTACAGCCTCACTATAGCCCCTGCTACATGGAAATTCTGTTCCAAATAGCTGAATCTAAAACATCACCAACAACGTCAGAGAAGGGTGAGGTGAGCACGACGGGCTCAGCCCGTGCTGCTTGCAGCGTTGTGTACCGAGTGGCTGAGGCTAAAACAACAACAACATAGGAAGGTTGTGTATGGTGGCTTTAGGGTTAGTGTAGGAGTAGCCACCCGACACTGATCCGCCCCCCTTCATCACCTTACATCACTCCTGTCCTCACTATGTCCTTTTCAAGTGTCCTGTCAATTCTGCTCTTATAATAATAATATATATATATATATTTTTGAGATATATACAAGAGTTGTTACATTCTTGTAGAGCCACTAGTACGCGTAGCGTTTCGGGCAGGTCCCTGGAATACGATCCCCGCCGCGAAGAATCGTTTTTTCATCCAAGTACACATTTTACTGTTGCGTTAAACAGAGGCTTAAGGATTTGCGCCCAGTAAATCCTCCCCGGCCAGGATACGAACCCATGACATAGCGCTCGCGGAACGCCAGGCGAGTGTCTTACCACTACACCACGGAGACTGGTTATTATAAAACTGGTGATTATAAGATAATAATAATAACAAGAAAGTCAACTGGGGCACTGAGGTGACTTGAACCAGTGATGAAGGACCTCCTAGTCGTTAACCTTACCCCTGTACTACCACGACTTGTTTACAAGTCATGCAGCCTTAGATTCCAGTGAATCTACAGGAAGTCTTGGGGGTTAGACGTCAAATTTGGACCGGCTTCAGTAGAAGCCAGTCCAAGTTTGGGGAATATAACTCTTATACCAGAGTGCATGCGGGTAATGAGTGAAATCCTGACTTGGCCACGTTGAGCTAAATGGAGGAGAGAGCTCACTCACCCATGGGTCTGGAGAGCTCACTCACCCATGGGTCTGGAGAGCTCACTCACCCATGGGTCTGGAGAGCTCACTCACCCATGGGTCTGGAGAGCTCACTCACCCATGGGTCTGAAGAGCTCACTCACCCATGAGTCTGAAGAGCTCACTCACCCATGGATCAGGAGAGCTCACTCACCCATGGATCAGGAGAGCTCACTCACCCATGGGTGAGTGGAAGTTGAAGCAAACCTCAGTGGAAACCTCAGGACCCATAGAGGATGCTTGCGAGCATCCAGTGTGCAAGTTCGAGTCTTACTCATGGCTCTTACTGATTTTCTCACTAATAATAATAATAAATAATAATAATAATTAGACGTCCTCTAATTACTCAACACAAAGCTGCTATTAGGACAATATCCAACTCTGGCCCCAGACATCACTCGGTACCCCTACTCAAATCTCTGAATATGTTAGACATTAAGTCACTGCACATTCTCTCATGTGTATTATACATATATAAAACGCTGAACTGTAATGCCAATCCTGATCTTAAAAGCTTCATAGAAGGTTGTAACAGAACCCATGAGCACTACACCAGAAATAAATACAGTTTTGATATTCCTAGAGTACGACTTAATCAAACTAGAAATGCTCTACAAATCAAGGGACCCAGATTGTGGAATGACCTTCCCAACCATGTTAAAGACTGTACCTCTCTCAACCAGTTTAAGATAAAAACGAAGCTATACCTAATAAATTCCCTGTAACCTACCTTACCCCTCTATTGACAACCAATGTCTTTTTTTTTTTTAAATGGCGCTGTTT